TTTTATTATAAAAGAAGAAGATCATTGTATTAGATGAAGCCACTGCTAATCTTGATATGAAAACTGATGATTTTATTTAAAATACACTTAAGCAATAGCTTAAGGAATGCACTCTTATTACAATTGCTCACAGATTGAATACAATTGCTGATTATGATAAAGTAATGGTCATCGAAAATGGAAATGTTATTGAGTTTGATTAGCCTTTCAATCTTTTGGCATAATCACTCAATTCAACAATAATAGATAAACAATCTCAGTTTTCTAAACTTGTTTTAAATACAGGGGAATCTAATGCTTAAGCTATTTTTGATATTGCAAAAAAAAAATCGATTCAAACTTGCAAATGATTTAATATTTAATTTTTAATAGCGTTATTTAAAATACATTTAATTATATTGGGTATAATAAAATAAAGAAATTTAATCTTAAAATATCCTAAATCGTGAATGATTTAAATAAACTTCCACCAATATCTATTCTACTACTTCTTGTTTTTTCTCTTGTTAACTCAATTCGGCTTAACTGTCTAAATTCCTATATAGTATATATATTAAGATGTCTAAATATAGTTTAACTTCATTTTACATGTATTATGAATAGATATCATCTAAGATCTTTATTTAAATTAATTTTTAAATTTTGATTTAATGCTAAACCGATCGTATTGGGGGTTATAAATTAATAAATTTATTTAAAAATATTTATTATATAATGTTAGAACTGATTAAACTTAATATAATGTAATAAATATTCAAGCAATATAATTCAAGTTAACAATAATAATGAATTTGTTATTTCTTCATTATTTTATAATGGGTTTAGTATTTATCAAAATTTAAGGTAATTTCTCCTAGAGTATATATAAGTTTAATTTCTTTTGATATGTTTCTTAATTAGATATTAAAAGAATATAGAAATGTGTAAGAGAAATGGTGCTAACAGATGTTTATGTAAAAGGATTCTTTTTTTGTAAAGTAACAAATACTTAAAAAAATCTGATATATTCAAATTTTTCTTTTCCATCTAAATTTTTGAATGAACATTGCTTTCTATTACTGATATAATATTAAAAAATCTGAGGATTTGTAAATCCATTTATATATTTTAACATTGCTAGAATTTTACTTGATTTAATACATGATCTAAAATTGAACCATTAAGCAATATATATTTAGCCATTAATACTTAAATTAAATATTCGATATAATAATTTGCAAACAAAGTTTAAAGTACAAGACAAAGTATTATTTAAATAATTTTATTGTATTTTTTAATAATAATTTCAAAAATTAAAAAGACTTTTGTAACTTGTCTAGTGAATTAGTATAAACAATTCAAACATGACTAAAAGAAATTCACAAAAACATGTAAAATATAGTTATGATTTACTAGGAGAATCTACCATTGTTAAGTTTTTTAAAAAATGTTTTATTATAAAATTATTTAAAGTACAAAACTAATTAGTTCGCATCTCTTCATTATTAGTTAAAAAAACTAATTATTTCAGAGAACTATTTTTTGATTAAAGTGGCTCATAATTTTTAGAACAACAATGATTATTTTTAACTAGCAATATTTAAAGGAGTCATTTAATCTCGATTTTTTTATTAGACAAATTTAATTGATTCCAATATTCATATTAAGGAAGTAAATTACTCTCAAAATCAAAATATAGTAGAATAGGTCACAATAGCAATAGAAATTGAATCTATTTAGATCATATTTATTGGAATGCGTTAATAAAGAATTTTTAAAGTTAACAATATTTTGTCTTGAAGAGTGGTGTTCTTCAACTTCTATCAAGTTTAATATCAAGAAAATTAAAACACTAATGCTACGGGCAAAGTTTTAATTCAATACATTTCTTAGTAGTATATTCAGATTGCAATGACTTCTACATTACTAGATGCTTTCTAAATTTTTGGTGTTTATATATAATGATGAATCAGCAATATTTAGTGAAAAAAATAAATTTTCATTCTCTGTTTATATTCATTCAAATTATTATTTGATGAATAAAACCCTTGTTTTTAATTTTATTATAAAATTTTCAACTTACTTTTTTTAATATTAATGTTGGTCAAACAATTAATGTAGTTTTTGTTCAAAATTTAAACTCAATATCAATAATAATATGTGTGTTGTACCTTGATATAGAATGAAAACTGCCATGTCATACTATTTAAGAAAGCAAGATTAGACATAAAATTTATATTTCTTACTAGAATATTTTGTAGAATATCATAAATTTCAATGAAAGTTGTTTTACATGAACGAGAAATTTTAGGTAGAATCAATATTTATTTATAAAAATTAATAAAAGTTCATATATAGTAAATTTTACTTACGATTATTTAGATCAAAGTATTAAAATAAGTTGAACTCTCATGCTTGAAATAATTTAATTTATAGATCCTTCTGCTTTAAATATTTATGAGTGAAAGAAATAATGTTATTCTTGTGGTTAATTTTACTAATTAAAACTTTTACAGACTTTTTATTTTTGATAATTATTATATTATTCCTTATTATTTTAAAAATTTTTTAATTTTAGATATTATGAAAATTGACAACAGTGTTTTTAAAGAATAAACAATATTGTTAGTTGGCTTATAAGATCCCAATAATCTAACTGGAAAAATACTTATTTGAAGGAAACTTATATAATGAATAAAATTAAGAAATGTATATTTCATTTTAGCTATAATTATAGCTATTCTTCCATCCAGTTGAGCCCTTCTTAAAGTCCTTCACCAGTACTTGAGCAACATGGTTATATATGCCAATTTTTAGAATAATTTTGCATAGCTAATTCAACAACTAATTCTTCCGGGTTCATTTTTACTAAGTCTTATTTATTTGCAAATATTAAAAGGGGCTATTCAACAAGTTCAAGCAACATTTTATGTAATTCAGTCTTTGCCTAATCCATTCTTTCTTTATCAAAACAATCAATAACATAAATTATTCCTTGACTTTTCTACAAATAATTTATCCATAGAATTCTTATTTTGTCTGCACCTCCAATATCCCAAGAAATTATTTCAAACTTTTTATTTTAAATTGTTTCTAAATTATATCCTATGGTTGGGATTTAGTATTCTATTTTTCCTAATTTTAATCTGTTTAATATAGTTGTTTTTCCTGCAGCATCCAATCCTATCATGACTAATATAGGTCTCTATGCAGATGAAGATTGTGAAAGAGGGTTTCCCCTTGTTATTAATTCAGAAACTTCATTTATGTTTTCTATTTATTCTCTTCAAATCATTCATTTTCCTACGAGGAATTTCTGTGATTGAGGATTCTGATTAATCATTCTGATGAGATTTGATTATTTTTG